TAGCCTGATAGTCTCACCTACAATTGTCGACCTGGCTGAAAATCACCGGTGTGCGTTATATAACTCGAATGAAATATATAAACGTATATCGGATGTCTCTACAAAGTCGTGCGATTGCAATTTCAAGAATATTGCTTACAGATTATTACTATTAAAGTACATCTTAATTAAATGTGAACGAAACGTGCGTTGATTGGATTTGATAACGTGGAGAGATTTTGTTATAAGGAACATTGAATAAATAGTGAAGTTAATAAGTTAAACCAGAGAATAATCGATCGTTACAAATAGCGTTACTATGAACTTTCGAGTCATTTCGACGTCCCGGTCTGTTTGTCGATAACATTTTGCGCGTGTTGTCCCGCATTCAAATAAATAAATACCTTCTTGACCTTGTAGTCACTACAAAGTATTCAACAGGTCACGTGTGCTCATCGTGTTTACGTGCCTTACTATCGTATTTACGACGTTAATGAAACATTATTATAGTGCTTGAAACACAAATTATTTTACATGGAATATAAGTTTGTTTAATTCGTCGCGTGTATCTATCACACATATAATGTTACGTACTTGAATACACACATCGCAATTTTAATCCCGCTGCGCTGGTCCGTTCGGATTTGAGTGTTTGACTCAAAATATAATTTTTTTCCTTACTAATATTTTATTTAAAAATTTGTTCTCTGATAAATTGAAAATAAGGAACTAATCAAGGCTCAATTTTACTTTTTAATAATGAAAATAAAATAAAAGGCTACGTGCTCTAGCTAGATATTAACGGTAATTATAATTAACATTAAACATCTAGCTTTAGCTCGTAGCTTTATTTTCAATATTTTTCTAGTATTCGAGCCTTCGCTGTTAATCTTTAGCGTGATACACAAGATTAGGTCATTCGCAGTCATTCTTGTTTTGCGCATTTCTTTCCTTGGAAATACAATATAATACCTGAGAAGCACCTGGCAAAATAATAATCTCTATCCTTTTCTTTTTTAAACACAACTTTGTAAGTACTTTCTACAAAATATATTGAAGTGTGTGTAAGAATCACTTAATAATTTTTGTGTATTTGTAAAAGTGATGAAAATTAAATTCAGGACACAAACGATCCATCCGTCTGTACGCGAAAGGTTAATATAAAAGTTTTTTTCTGTAAAATTTTTTTTATTTTTTACATCTTTTTAATTATTGACCCAAACGATATGATTGTATAGTAAATTTGAACAGGCCAACAGGCAGAGTTGACCAGAAAAGTCGAGTGGGTGGAAAAAACCGTGGTAAATTCTGAATTTTACCGTTCCAGTGAAATAAACTGGCAGGAACTATGAAAACGATTAATACGTAGTACTAAAAAAATGTATTTTTATACTTTATGCAGTAAGATATTAATTACGATAGTTCAAAAGGAAAAACCAAACGAACCGACAATAATAAACTAATAGCAATAATAAAATCTTATAGTAAAATCTTTTTTAATGAAAATTAATGTGTGAAATACACTTGTAAAAACAGAAACTTTGGAGATAATACACACGCTATTAAATTGTATATTAATTTCTAATTGCATGAGAAATACATGATAGTATACAGCAAAATATTGTACAAAATTTTTATCAATATATTATACATATTTGGTTTGTTTTTACTATTCAATATCTTGTGACAAAAAATTAATTTATTTATTGATTCTTAATCTATACTGTATTACCTACGAATTTTATTTTAGATGAAGCTTAAATTGGAAAATGCATTATCAGTTAACACTAAATTGTGTAGTTATACTGAGTGATACTAGAATATTGAATTAGATTATTGGTAGCAAAATTTTCTGTTTATTTTATTTTTAATAAAAGGGACTAATTTTGTATGGAAAAAATTTATATTGATATAGACTTTTTTTATTCCAAAAATATAGAAATTTGTCAAGCCTGCCAGCAGAGTTAAAAGATGCAAGATTATGAAATGATTAATTTTCTGTAAACTCTCCGAGGCTCGATTTCACAATATATGATTACCTAAAGATTAAAGGTAACCAAGAAATCAAATTCATGAATGAATTTCATTGATGAATCTGTTACCTTGAATCTTCAGGTAACCATATATTGTGAAAACGGGTCTAACGGTGATATGCGATATACGATACGAATATATTGTACAATACGAAAGTTTTTGGATTGTTCAGTATAATAAATTTTACAAATCTCTTTGAATAACCATCAAGTTGTTCGTCGAGAAGGAGAAATCCAAGCGAATTGAAATATTTTGCGATTTATTCTTATCGTCATTAGTAATGAATATATATCTTACGATTGTTACATTACGAGACGCATATTTGTATAGTCAAAGCTGCACATATGACGTTTTCGTCAATTAAAACATACATTAAAATTTATGCAATTTTCAGATAAATCTAACGTGATGATATTTGTGATTTTCAGCGCCGAAATTAAAAGGTAGACCACGAAGAAAGCGTAAAAAGCGCAGCGCTTCGCCGGGCGAATCGTCGAACGAAAGCGAAGCCTCAGTGGCGTCGACGTCGAAGAGTACGTCGGCGATCACCAGCCTGGTAATACCCACGGTCGGGAGACCGCCCTCGTCCGGGATACGGCGGAGCGAGAGGAAGACCAGCGCGGAAGAAAAGAAGTTCATCACCGACGTGCAAAGTTTTATGAACTCTCGGGGTACGCCGGTCGGAAAGATGCCACTGCTGGGCTACAGGCAGAGTCAGTATCTTGTTATTTTTCCTCGGATTTTCTATCCGATGACTTGCCACCGGAAGGGCAGACCATTTCTCTGATTTTTCAAATTTCTCTTCGCGCAATTCCGGCAGCAATTTGGCTGCCAGACTGCAAAGAGCTAAGACACAGCAGGGTTTCCTTCTCGCAAAATATATATCACGATATTTCGTGCTTACGACTCTAATAATCTTTTTTTTTTCTCTCCATAGTCGATCTGTTCCTGTTTTATACAAAAGTGCAAATGCTTGGTGGTTATGACTCTGTCAGTGCTGGGCGCCTTTGGAAAACCATCTACGATGACATCGGTGGTAACACGGGTTCTACTAGCGCAGCGACTATTACACGTAGACATTACGAAAGGTAAAGTATTTTAGCGGATTCTTATCACGCAATTGTTTTTATTGGAACATTAATACAATCCTGTATACAAATATTTATAAAGATGGTTTTTTTGTTAATCCCTTATAAATACGCGTTTAAATTATAAAAAGATTTTGTTGTATCTACAGATTATTGTTACCTTACGAAAGGTATCAGCGAGGCGAAGAAACAAGAGTGAGACTGAATCTCGGACGACGTACCAAGAGTATGAGTGCATCCGAAGATTTAGACATCAAGGAGGAACCGAGCGAGCTCTATATGTCGGAGACACCTCCACCAATAGATGTAATTCCTGCGACCACAACACCACCCTTACAACCAATAATGTCAGCAACAACAACGGTAATTGGCACTAACTTTAATTAATTAACTTCGAAACTATGCTTAATGCAACTTAATTTTTTCATACCATATCTTTTCCCACTTGCAGACTTTACTCTTGAGTGAGAAACCCAAAGCCGAAACCGGCAAGACATCCTCGTTACGTAGCGTGCGAGTGAAACCGGAACGCCTGAAATCTTTGAATACAATAATCGCCAATAATGCGACACCTTCCAGCCAGCAAGCTAGCCAACTGCCAAGTCCACCGCCATCCTCCAATACATCTATCTCGACGCCCAATAGCACACCCTCCACAACACCGACGAATGGTACCAGTAACAATCAGAGTGTCTTGGAGAGGCAGCTCAACAGTCCTTTGATATCCCAACAAGTTCCACCATCGTGTTCGCCACCAGGCTTGCCTGTGACTAGTGTAGCGGCAAACGCGTCGACGGTCGTCACTCTAACGCCTCCACCTGAGAAGGATATGAAGGAGATCAAGTTGGATCCCAAGCAAACAACTTTACTGGCACAAGGCAAGGAAAATATACCACTATTTGGCGGCGAGAAATTCGCGGAAAAGACGATAATGCCACCAGTCTCTAGATCACCTGAAGTGATCGACCTTGAAAACGAGAACGACACGAGTCGAGACAAAATAATCATTCCCAGCTTTAAGAAACGTAAACTCGAGATTTTGCGCGAAGGCGGTCTCGAAGTTACCGCCGTCGATCTGGACGTGCGACCGAGCGTAATTCAAAGCTGTGTTGGTATGTCGCCGCAACAACATCAACAGCAGCAATCGCCATCATCCTTGCCTGCTACAATGAAGTCTACTGAAGAGAAGCAACCGTCGATCTCGCCGTATCCACTTCCAGTTACGCCCAACTCCATTCCTAAATTAATATCCGTCACTGTGACACCCGACATAGGACATATGTTACCGTCGCCGCATGATCATCAAAATCATCTGCCGCGAATACCGACGATTAAACAATTACCAGTTCATCACAACAATAACAATATTAGCATGATGAACAACAACAATATGGCAAATAGTCGAATAATAAATCTTGGTAGCTCGAACAATACCGCGCTATTGCAACTGTATGCGAATGCGAACGTCGTACCATCAACGATTTCGTCTGTGCAACAATCAAGCCATCGTTTTGTTCCACCAAATATTCCAAATGGCAGGTTATTACTACCAAAGGTGACGCAATCAAGGTCGATATTTGTGCACAATGAAAGGACGGTTTATGGAAATCCCAAGGATATTTTGAACTCTCCTCCAAAATATCACTCGCCGCATCCACATCAACAACAGCAGCAACAACGCTCGCAGCAACATCCACAAATGAGCTCCAGCAACGACATCGGACAAGGAGGTGTTCTCGATCTGACGCAAAAGAACGAGAAACCGACGTTCCCTAGGCCCAGTCTAGAAATAGTCAGAGTACCTGTAGTGCAGAGGCCTAATCCATTAAATCTGGACGTGCGGAATTCACCCGTGGCTAAGGACAAATTGTCGGACAGACCTGTCGTCGATTGTCCAAAGCGAATACCCTTCCCTGCCTACCAAAATGTAATTGACAGTCGAACTATTGCGTCGAATAACCTCGAGATTACGCTAGTGAATCCCAAGCACAAAAACAATCACCACGTCATACCGTCTCACGTTCAAATACCGAGTCCACCTAATAAAAATGCGATAGGAACGATAAGTAGCGTGCAAATGAGGCAGCAACAATCGCAGCAACAAGTGAACGGAAAGTATACAGTGAGAAATGAGCCGATTTCGCCATACACACCAAGGAAGCCAAGTCATCCCATCATACCAAACGTACCCAATTTGAATCATTTGAATCATAGTGGAAGTTCATTTCCTAGAATTCAGGCAACGACATTGCCTCAGTCACAACAACAAATGAGCATTGATAGGAGGAAAGCGGCTGCGGAGGCCGGTAGGGATCATCAACATCGTAGGATTAGCGAGGGCGAGAAATCATCTTTGGCAGCGCAACAGCAGCAGCAGCAGCATCAGCATCATCATCACCATCATCATCAGGAACCCAGGCAGAACGAGGTTGGGCGGCGACACAGTTTACCCAGCATACCATCGGGATTCGTACCGACGGTACCGCAAAATAATTCTGCTCCCTTTCCTTTGCCACAATTGCCAAACGCGTCCGGCAAGTTTCTACCAATTCTGGATCCCATGTACTACTCCACGTTCTATAACGGTTTGTTCCCACCGCCGATTCCGCCCACGGCCACCGCAGCTGCTGCCACCGCGTCGTCGTTTTTACCGCCGGAATTTAACGCATATTACAAGGAATTACTTGCTTCCTCGCAACCAAGACTGACGGGGATGACGGGGCAGCCGCCGCATCAACAGCCGGCCGCTCCAACGTCTAAATAGACAATGGGATCTCAACATTTAGGGTTTCCGGCATAGCGAAAGACGCTTCGATTACTAGAGAGACAAGGATCCGTCGGACTTCTTCGCTGTCGAAATGTATATCAGCGAGTGACGCGATATAATGATGAGAGTGATGCGATTTGTTCAGACTATATATGTTTAGTTATGTTGTTTTTATTCGATTAAAACAACAAGAACAAGACGAAATTTATTCACAGTGTTTATTCATGATAGAACGAAGATAATCCCACAGGGTCTCGCGCAAAGGTAAAATGAAGTATCGGTATAAGTGCAGATGTTATACGAAGATATGTTCTTCAAATTATGATATATTTCATATCATTAGTTACAAATATTTCTAATAGATGATTAGAAAGATTAGAAAGAAATATTTATATTGCGCATTTGGTGAGAAATGCAATAATACGTGGGCCTTGTTATGTATGTGGACGCATAACATTTTGTTGTCGCTCAATTTGATATAATTAATAAGATTTAATATATAATTAACATTTTTTTAAATAATTTTATTAGTATATACGTACTATAACGTTATATTCAATATGTGCGACTATATTATAAGCCCTCTTTTTCCGAAATTAGATTCTTGGATTCGTCCTTGCACGAGACTCTAGAGGATTATCGATATTAAGAAAAAGAAATCCTGTGATAAAAATGCACACAAAATGTATTGATATTCAAGGAGACAGTCGATGGAATCCACAGAAAATCGTTATTTTTATATGTTTATTTTATATAAATTGTTTACGCGCGTTTTTGATTTTCAATTAATGTTATAAGACAAAATATTCTGATTTGGAAACTTGCATTACCTGTGCTAGCTATGCTAGAGTTTCCTAATGTCTCCGTTCCGTTGTAAAAAAAATTCTTCCTGAGAACAATTACTTTTTTCTTTTCTTCACATATTTAGATATATATTTTCAAAAGGGTATCATTCACGTTAATTTCAAATTCGTCGAGTCTTTATTTTCGGTTTTCGTTTTGCAAATGTACATTTTGATTTATTTTGAGCGCACCATGTGATAAACCCGATGCGAAAAAAAAAAAAAAGAAAAGAATTATGGCGAGCGTATAGCCGGCGGATCATCGGAATGTATAATTGTTTACTGTGTGTAACGGAGTAAATCTTATGTAGTAACGCTCGCGAAAACCCAATGTACTGTGTATAAGCTAGACAATTTTCATTATAATAAAAAAAGGAACACTCGTACACAATCACGTACACACCGCTCTATAGTCACCTCTAACGATATAAGCGCACGCATGCAATGTTATAGCAGCGACATGTATATAATGTATATAGCTACGTAAATCATTAAGCTAGACAAATCCTACATTATCTCTCAACATATTACGTAAGAAAGTTAAGTTTAGTAAGTGTACACAGGCTGTCTTGCTCGTGTGGCCAACGATGTTGTCGTATCGCTGTTTTTCCTTAGGAGGAAAGAAAACGATATTTTTCTTCAACAACATTTCCGATGGTCTCTTTTTTCGCTCGGAAGACATTTGTGACGATCTTTCGCTTTCTAACGCCGCGCCGCGCCGTGTCGAGCGTGAGGGAGCGCGCGATGTAAGCTCTTCGTTTTATCTCTGTAAAAAGCATCCGGAACCGCGTGCAATCAATTAATTACTTGTTACGCGATCGAACTGCTAAACGTGATCGAACATCGCGGGCCACCACAATACTTTGGAAACAGATTTTAAAAAATTACCGACGGTATATTCATGTTAAATGTAGGCATATTGATGATAGAATTTGTTCGTTTTAGGATACTCTGATCAAAAGAATATTAATAAATATGAGAATAACGTTAAAGCATTCGTAACCGTAAGACGTACAAGAGGAAGAAAGATCCGTTTCGGATCGTTCTAGCGAAAAAAAAGAAAATCAGATTTCTATATTGATGTCTTTCAAGAGTATGAATTATTCACGTTTTTTCGGATGGTTCTTTCGTGATAACAAAGGCGTTGCGGCGCCGATTGCGAGACCGCGGCTGATTAACGATAGCCTTCCAGTGGTATTCAACGAGTCGAGAAACCGAGAATTCGATATCGATTATCGATCAGCGCGAAGGGTCAGGACATGAGACGCTACCACTGTTGTTATTTTTGTAAGACCGCGGCTGACTTCCGGCGACCCGGGCGCGTCGCGACTACGCCGTCGCGTCGCGTCGCTTTTCGACATGGTGCTATGCGACGAAGAAATTCTATTGTAAGTCTTTTCGAAAACAATTTTAGCGGGCGTTGTTGGGTACCAGTGGAGATCTCTGGCGCGATCGCCCGAAAGAACTACATACACAATCTTAAGATAGATCTTCACGTCCAAGTCTGATAAATATATACAGAAACAAAAAAGTTAAAGGGAAACTCCACGGGTTCTAGCGTATGTATAAAGAGAGGAAAGAAGGAGATAGTCGAGTATATACGGATCTCCGTTATGATTACGATTCGCTGTAATATCGCGGGGTTCGTACAGCGCTGCAGCGGCGAGGAAAGCGAACGCTGCAAGATGGACGAAGAGGACGGCAAAGCGGAGTGTCGTCGTCGAGTCTCCGCAAAGGGAAAGGCTTTTATGAGAATACGTGCCATAAAAAAAAAAAACTGATTAGATAGCGACTACGAAATCGAACGATAGCGACGGTCATTTGTACATGCTTTTGACGAGCCCCTTAACTGCAGTTCGAAAAACTAAGAAGGTAGACGCGAATCGAAAAGAAAAAAGATTAAGGAGAATAATTACAATGTGCAAAGAATTCCACGTGGAAGATTTTATATGATTTTTCGTTTATATTCTGTTACCGCGATTATTTTATAAATCTCGAGTCCTTTTTTTTTTAGCGCGCGTGAGAGTGTACGGAATAAACGTGCCGTTGAATGAGAGTGAGAGTGAGTCGCGGAAGAATCTTCGAATGTTTCGAGAAGAAGAGTCTACGATTGTTTTTCGTTTTTTTTTTTTTGCGAGTTTTCTCTTCATTTTGTATACTTAGTAGAGCGATTTTAGCATAACCCTCGTTTTCCCACTTTAATAATAGTAATTATTACGATACAAATATTTTTTATTATATATGGGCATTTCAGTTCCTAAGTTGGAAATAAAATATCTACTACAAACGGGTTTTCTTATTGCCACGTACCAAATAAGAATGAGCTCTCGTGTCTCTGCAATCGCAAGAACGCATTTTTGCTCTTTAGATCTTTGCCGAAAGGCGTACTTGCAGATTTTTGTTTCGACAAAATTTCCCAATATTTACCTCCCCCTACGGTATGTCTATGCTTTATATCTTTAAAGAGAGAGATTGACTGTTCCTGAAATCCTCTCAAATTTGTTTCTTTTTTTTTTTTTTTTTCAGAGAAAAAACAATAAAAGACCATTTTTTTCTTACATCTTGTATATTTTTGAGAAAATATGAAGAAATTTAATTGTATTGTACATTGACAAATACAGCAATAATTTAAATAATCTTTCTGTCTTAATAATATTTCTTGTCTCATTTAACAACTTTAATTGTATTCATATTGTGTTCTTATTACTATTAGAATTATAAAGTGCTAATTACTCGCTACGTAGGCGAGATATATTTACAAAAAAAGACATATTTGCAATTATAAACGTACAACTATACAAGTTTTATATATAGAATTGAAGTATTTATTGTTTTTTAGTCGAACGAACTATATGTATAGTTGTAACTATGTATATAGATACTTTATTCAACTATCTTAATTCTACGTATAAAACTTGTATAGTTGTCTTTAATAATTGCTGTATAATCACTGTTTTTCTCGTACTGTAGAATATCAAAGTTTCTTCGCGGGGCAGAGATCGCGGATGAAATTGGTAAGAAATTAAGATGCCGAGAATGGAGTTTTACTCATGAGAAAGTACACACGTTGCTCCATGGGTACGATCATCGTAATCGAGAGATCGCTTCCTATTGGTCCAGCCGTCAGCGCGCGATGTTATGAACTCGGCAAAACGACTGAAAAACGAAGGAAAAAGAAGGCGAAGCACCGCGGCGCGGAATGCACATGTGCCGCGAAATTTAAAATCTCTTTACGACAGCCATAAACCGATAACCTGTTTAACCAGTCCGGTGATGGCGGACTGCGCGGACACTTTATCGTCGCAAAATCATTCCTATTCCGTTTTTTCATCATCCATTCCGTCGTTTCCCTTTTCTCGTTCCTCTTTTTTTTTTCCCCTGCCCCAAGATGCGCTCGATCTCTTTGTTTTGCGTGTCATTACGGAATATTCCAGGGTAATCATCCACGAGCTTGTGCGATTTCATTAGCGAATCACGGAATCGATAATCGATTGCTTTTTGGTATATTGAAGCGACAAACAATATGTACGTCGCGAAGGTGGTTTTTTTTTCTCACAGTCCGTATGATCTTAATTATCAATAAAAATTATCCGTAAAGAAGCTGAAGTTTGCGATTTTATGAACGTAACGAAATGCGGATCTACTTCCCGGTTTAATATATATATATAATATATATAATGTTATCGAGTTACAGAGAATGCTGAATGACGAGAGTGTATTTATGAACAAGTGCATTCACACACTGGAAAAAGAGTTTGATTGCATTAATTGGAATGATCTGGTTGAAAATGGATAAATCGGAATTCTCTGGTTGAATCTATTATTATAATTCTATCTTGAGATAACCAGAATTCTAATTGATGTGATGAAAATTTTCTTGGTTCATTTATTTTCAATCAGAAATTTTTCTCAATGCAGGCGTATCACTACACACCATGAAAGATTAAATTAAGGCAGCTCAAAATTTAGGAAAACAGCTTATTTATCTGACTGCTTTTCTTTATTCTTTTTGTGTTATAATAGAAAAAACATTTCATAATTGTCAGTTTTATTGTTACCAGATACAAAATGTTTGGAAAATATTTAGAACAGGGGAAGCAGCTCCGGTAATCTTGACTTTGACATATGTTGTCAAAGTTACAACCAGAAGTAGGTAAGTTCATGTTTTTCTTTAACTGTGAATTAAGTTAAAGTTGAAGTGAATTAAGTTAATGTGTGTGGCTTATAAAATTAATAAAATTAAGTTAAAAGTTGAAGGAATAAAAATTAACTTAATAAAAATTAAGTTAAGATTGAATTAACTTAAGAGTTAAAAGAAAAGTTAATTTTGAAAAAAATTATTTTTAAGATCAGAATGTCTTAATTTTTCTTAAAATAAGATTACTTTAAATAACAATTCTAATATAGATTATTTAGTAAATTTAATTTTTTTTATTAATATTAAGTTATTTATAATAAAAGTTATTTATAATAAAAGTTATAAGGCATTTTTGTTGAAATCCTACGAGGAAGAAGGGTACATATTTGCATTATCTCTCTTTTTTTGACTTAATAAATCTCTTCTGAAACGCTTGTACTGCTCACGCATGTTTACGATCAACTAGATAGGTATTTGTTATAAAAAATATACGTAAAGATTTACATTTAAAATGGGTGGATGTGCAGTAAATTTTTACAATAATTTTCTATCGAAAGCTCATTTCATATTAATGTTGCTGAAATATAATATTTATGTTATCTAAAATTAGTGTCATTCAAATATATAAAGTTAATAAATTAAAGTTTAAAAATAATTAAATTAAGTTAAAAATTAATATTAGAATTAATTAAATTAAGTTGAAAGTTATTAACTTTTTAACTTTTTTTTAACGTTTTAACATTTTTTTTTACGTTCGTTTTTAATAAGAAGTACTTTTCTTAATCTGTGTGTGCTGTAATAGAAACGTATGGAAATAATAAAACAGCGACTAAAGTCTCAATTTTTTAAAATATATAAATATTTTAAATATATTCAAACTGATTTATGTAAAGTTACATTGCGACGGGGAAATTAATTTCTCCTGTAAATATACAAAATATTTATTTATTCTAAATCTTTGTAATTAATCAATGTGAATTGCAATGAAACTTTGCGTAAGTCATCGTAAATATTTAAAGTACTTATACAAATATATTTATATTTTTAGTCATTATTTAAATTTTAATTCATACCAATAAAAATAATAACAAATAAAGTAAATAAACTATAAAAATGTTGTATTATTCAATAAAAATAGAATGTTACAAATAATTTTCATATGTATATACTTTGTTTACAGTATAAACATTAATATATATAGGCTACACATATAGAATTGATCATACTTCCCTATCCTAAGACATTTTATGTTCCAATTTTGGCTATGGTATTGTCTACACGTAATATATATGCGATGTAGAATCAGAAAAAAGATATTTAGAAATTTTATAGAAATATTCGCAATGCTCAATGGCTATAAAAATAATTATGATGAGGTCAAAGATGACAGAAATGTCAATCAACATTCGACGTATGCAAAGTATATAACACAATTTGTCTTATTTAATAACATTGCTTTTCATTAATTAACTTTGAATCGCATGTGACAATTGTGTGTAATTGTGAAGAGCGAATAAAAAATTACACCTTCGTATCGTATGATGGATCAATTCTAAGCAGAATCGTAATAATAAGGCAATTATAATTTGTTCTTGTAAGACTTGTAAGAACTTGTGACTGGAATACTTATAATTTTATGTAGTGCCTTTGTAGACAGATGCTTGCTGGTTGTACGTAGATATTTATGAATAACCGTACGTTTTACGTATATCCCTAGAATTATAACTCTAGTGATACGTTCTTACAAGTCTTACGAGAATAAGTTACAAGTTTTACAATTTTACTTATTGTTAGAATGGACTTAGTGTTGCGCAAATGAGCCGTCTCTCTCTCTCTCTCTCTCTCTCCTCCCCCCTCTCTCTGTCCCCCTCCCTCCCACCCTACTTCCCACCCCCCTCTCTCTCTCTCTCTCTCGATTTGTATCAACTTTCGACTGCCTGTTTGCTGCAACGATCAAAGGGGTGAAAAAAAAGACAGCACGCACACACATACACACAAAACCTGTTTTTATATATGCTTATTTCGACTTATACTATCTTACTCATTCTAACTTAATGAAGTTGATAAAAATGACGAGCTACTCAAATTTATTTGTTATCTGATGGGGCTAGACTCTGTTATACATATAGAGTCTTTAGATGAAAGTATACGCGAACGCTGAGTAGGTGTCCGCGTGCCAATTCTCGCACATATCCGAGCGGTGCGGGTGGGGTAAAATCATGTTTACCTCTCCATCTACCCCAGTGACAATCGGCAAACACGCGGCCGCTGTAGTATTATCGCGCATCGCCGCATGCCAAACCACTCCCGTCAGTGATCACACCACTGTGGGATCGTAGGTAGACCCGCATTCGCGAATCTGCCAAAACATCTGCGGCTTTCCCTTGAAGTCATCATCGTCACGTCATCGCGTCGAGGCGACAGCGAGAACGCTCTAATTTCTTCTCGTCAATACCATTCGAGGAGGCCGAGCTTGTGCGGATGGCCAAGCGAGCGAGCTTGCGGGTGGATCGCCGATCGCGGGTGACGTCGCGTGGAAAAGTTATTTATGTAACCAACGTTCCGCCACACGCATGGTCGCGATCGGTCGACCGGCGATTATTAATCCGCCGCGCTCGCGCCGCTCGGGAGCCCATCAAATTATACGACGTGAACTTTTTGTCGCGCTTAAAAAGGATCATAACGACGTGGAATTATGCGAGAGCGCGTTTTTACGTTGCTCTAACCGCGATGCAAGTTTTTGCGCGCGCGCGCGCGCGCTGACAGACGGATGTATAACAGTCGAGCGTTTAATCGCTCAAGGAGAATGAAGCAATTGCTCGAGTCGAAATCGAAAATAACGAGCAAAGTTGCGTCGAATAGATAGAGGAAAGCGAGTATGTGCGAAAACAAGTGGCCGCGTTTCAAATGCAAATATCGAAAGCTAAAGGCGACCGTTGAGTTTATTCTCTAAGCGGACTACTAAAACCGGAGCGACATCGCGTCGTATGGTACAAGTTTAATTCGAAAAGATAACGACTCACTCACTGAGCCAACTAACGAGTCGGCTAAATGATCCTCCTGCGATACTCTTCCATGTTATGA